GGTTCGGAGATTTCCTCTCTGCTGTTTGCGGACAATGTAGTCCTGTTGGCTCCAACGAACCAGGACCTGCAGCATGCACTGGGACGGTTTGCAGCCGAGTGTGAAGCGCCTGGGATGAGAATCAGCACCTCCAAATCTGAGGCCATGGTGCTCGACCGGAAAAAGGTGCCTTGCCCCGTCCAAGTGGGTGGAGTGGTCCTTCCTCAAGTGGAGGAGTTCATGTATCTCAGGGACTTGTTCATGAGTGAGGGGAGGATGGAGCGTCACAGCGTTCGCAGTGCTGTGGTCGTTGTATCGGAGGGAGCTGAGCCGAAAGGCAAAGCTCTCAATTTACCGGTCAATCTTCGTTCCCTCCCTCACCTATGGTCATGAGCTTTGGGTAATGACTGAAAGAACGAGATCGCGGATACAAGCAGTCAAAGTGAGCTTCCTCCTCAGAGTGGCTGGGCGCTCCCTTAGAGATAGGGTGAGGAGCTCGGTCACACGGGAGAAGTTCAGAGTAGAGCCGCTGCTGTTCCACGTCGAGAACAATTAATTGAGATGGCTCGGGCATCTGTTCGGATGCCTCCTGGACGCCTCCCTTGGGAGGTGTTCCGGGCACATACCACCGGGAGCAGACCTCAGGGAAGATCCAGGACACGCTGGAGGGAGTATGTCTCTCAGCTGGCCTGGGAATGCCTTGGGGTCCCCCCGGACGAGCTGGAGGAAGTGTGTGTGGATAGGGAAGTCCACACAGTCGCGGCAACGGATGAAGCGGAAGAAAATGGAATGGAATGGAGCATTACAGACCCTAGCTCTAAAAGGCTCTTAAAGCTGAACTGACTTTATTTTTGTATTCATTACGAAAGTACTATCCATGTCCATGCAATGCATTAGGATATACGTCCTTTTGAAGAAAAAGTAGCGCAGATTTGTGCTGGCGTGACATTATATTTTAGATCGAGTTTTGATGAAACAAGGAAGAGAATGTGTTTCGGGTCTCAGATTGTGACCAATCACAGCGGACCACTAGCCCCCACTTTCGTGAGAAATCTACAGGTCCGTTAGCATAGACGGCTGAGTTAGCACAACAAGCCGAGGAGCTAACCTGAAGCTTCCTCGTCTTCGTCACCGGTTAGTGCTTACACAGCGAGACAGCCATGTATTGACAGTTTTCACTCATTTGTAAATGTGATTAATTGAGAAATGCTCTGTGGGTGTGGTGACAGTACACCATTGGGTGCCTGACCCACCCTACATGAGATGACTTCCTCTTAAGAATAATACATTTTATTTCTTAGGCGCCTTTCTTGACATTCAAGGTCACCTTACATACAGTAAAAAAGTGCTCTTCTCATATTTGCTGAGAGTTTGACACTCTACATGAGAGAACATGTTTAAAACATGAGACCCTTCACATACACGTGCAGCAAGGCAGGTGCTCAAATATTAAAAAGGAGCACTTGTGCATACCAAACATGGGGACTTGCAGACACATATATGTATGTTAAAATTAAATTAAAACATTACATTAAATTCATAAAATTTTACCCATTATGTAGACAGAAATGCAAACAAAGAAGTTCTATGCCTGGCCTTGAGCCTCACCCCTTTCCCATAGGGAACTCCTCCTCAGTCACAATGGGCCTCATTTATAAACTTAAAACAAAAAATTTACACTATTCGGCATTTATCAATCTGGACGTGAGCGTACGGTACGCACATAAAATACGCCATGTCAGTAGGTGGTGTAAATGTGTACGCTCATTAACCTTCATTACAACACGCCAAAAACACGCATGAAATGCAAGATTTGGACAACAATAAACATATTCCAACTCTGGCAAAATTATAAGATGTGTTTTCATTGAGCATCAAATTTCGAAATTTGAATTTGCACAGATCATGATGAGGACTCTCTTCTGTTTCTTTGTTTGTAAATCTGGAATTGGAATACTCATGGGGAATTGTTTTGCCTCATTCAAAGCAATGCATTTTTCATAAGTTTTGTGCATAAAGCCCCATAAACACACCGATGGTCTCACTCAAAACTGTGTCAGCCACTGCCCTGTCCGCATGTAGCAGAGAGAGGATGGCAATGCGCCTATCTGTAGGAACGGGCTCATAGGCAGGTGCCACGACAGGTCCCACCACAAAACTCTTCAAATGTGGTGTGCGCCATTCAGACGTTTTGGCCAGAGAGTCTCTGTGAAATCACGTACACTTCCCAAAAGCTTACGCATCCTTTCTCTCTCACAGAGATCGCTCCATCACATTCACAAGAAGATCTTGCAGACGCTTCACCCGGTTAATGATGAGCCACCGCTGAGATATTAAGATTCCTTCATTCTTTCAGTCATTGATTCATTTATTCATTCACTTCTAAAGTTCAAGAGAGATGAGTGCTGCAGTGGGTCAAAATAAAACTCAATATAAACTCAGTGCGTGTCACTAACAGGCCTTTTGAGGCTTCCAACTAGACTTGCTGGCCGACTTCCATGCTGACCTGTCGTAAAAACGGGGCGGTTTCTGAATATTTCCAGGTGTGACTTTCATAAATACACTGGTTTTGAGCGTGACATTATTCAACACCCGTGGCTGCGTACGCTCATATCTGTGCGGATCTCACACGTTCATAAATCCTGCGTTTGATTTTGCGTAAATGGAATCTACACCAAAAAAAACACCCTTTTCTGTGCAAGTTTCATAAATGAGGGCCATTTTTCTACATGTAACCTTTTAATTCCTGTCCATTAGCCATTAAACTCCTTGCAATCCATTGAATGATTCTCATACCACTCTCTCACTTCCCCCCACACCCATTCTCTCCTCCTCCAAACTTTTGTTCACCTGTTCCCAGGAAACACTTCTCATACCAAGGTACTTTTCCGCTCCCTTAACGATAATCTTAAATTTATCCGTTTTATGCTTTGCCTGATCCGCACAATTTATGACATTAGCTTGAAACACCATCAAATTATCCACCGACACCATATTACCCTCACTCACACTCTGCTGCTTTCCTCTAGCATCACTCTGGTCACCATTCACTCCTGGGTTTTGATTTTGAGCTTTCCTCACTGCTTCTGCATAAGAGACACTATTCACTACCTTCACTTTCTGAATCTCCATTGCTTTTTTCCTGACTACACACCCTCCAGAGGTCACAGCCTGTTGCCCTCCACAGTTACTACATTTAAGACTACTGTTTTCGTTGCACTTCTCTACTCTGTGCTCCCCACTGCATCTAGGGTATCTCTGCCTCCCCCTACAGACCGCTGCTACATGCCCATAAAGTTGGCATTTATAACACCAGAAAGGAGGTGGAACAAACTCTCTCACAGGAAAACTCTAACACCCCACCTTTAATTTTCCAGGGAGTACTGCACCTATGAACTCCAGTAAAACCGATGAGCTCTCCACATCCTGACCATCACCTTGCCTCATCAACCGTCTAACTGCACTCACACCTCCACCAAAACACTGTCTAAACCTTTCCAGGTCGTCGTCTAATGGTGCTTTCAGACTGCGTTGCGCCGGCTTTCAATGCAAAGTCTATGTTGACGCGCGTTCGAGCGTCAAAACGCACGAACATCTCGGGACGCACGAACGGACTGTTCAGTAGAGACTCACGGACTGCGCGGGAAAGTCGAAGAGGAGGAGCAGGAGCGGTAAAGGAGATAAACTTTGCTCAACCTTTCCTCGGGACGTTCGTGCAGCGACCAATCAGAGAGCCGCAAAGTGGTCACGGGGAAATTAGTGGTCTGAGCGAGCAGACTGAACATACAGTAAACGGCCAAAACAGGAGCTACACCACAAATTAAAACCAGGGTTGACAATGGGGGACTGTGTGCTTGTGAATATATGCGTTGTCATGCTCCCGTGACTTTATGCAACTGCTTCGAGTGTGTGCTCCGATGCGGAAGTACCGTTTAATAATAAAATAAACTTATTGCGCACCGTGAACACATACTACTGTTATATAAAGTCCGTGGAAGGTCTCTGTACACAGACACCCTGCAAAGCTGCATTATTGGAGAAGATCTTTAAACGAGAAGCTGCTAGCATAACTATGTTAGTATCAGAGCCGGCCGGCTACTTCCGCCACTTCCGTTGCTGGCGTTCTGGCGTGAAGACCCCTGCGTCTGAAAACTAGAGAATGCGCGTCTGGTGAGCGAGGCTTCAGCGTTTGAGCGTTTGCGGTCTGAAAGCACAATTAGGGGACGCCTGTTATGACGCCACGCACTTCCTTCTTTTCTCCAACTTCTCTTCCTTCAGTCACTGCTATCTTGCACACATATTCCAACGCTTTCTTTTTCTGTTCTTCCGAAGTACACACAAACTCCCATCTCTCAGCACCTTTGCCACTTCTACATCTCCGATTTTCTTTTTCAACTCCCTTGACAACACTATCAGGCTCACATTTTTTATATCATGCTCCTGCCAAAACTTAAGAATTACTTTAGGATTCTGCTGCTCCCTAACTACCCTTTTTCGGCCCGCAATCCCCTCATCTGAACTATTCCCATCCAAGCCCTGTTTCCTAACCTGGCTATACTACTCATTCCCCCCTCGCTTCTACTCCTGTCAAACGCACCCAATCTCCCTAAATCCTGACTATAGTGCATCAAGTCCTCGTCGTCATCCGCCAAGGACGCAATCCCGGCCCAGTCACAGATCGGATTATGCCAACCACCAGATAAATTATGTCAATTTTTAAACAAACAGGTGTTTTATTAGATTTATATACACCAGCACCATGCACTCCACTCCCAGCGTCTGCTCCTTCACAGCCTCAGCACTTCCGGGTCTGCACCAGCCGCGCTTTGTCCCAGTTTATTGTGCAATGTATTGAGTTTGTCCATTATGGTTTTCAGTGAGAGGCCTCTAGTCTATCCAAGCATTCACTTTAGTCGATAAACCTGGCACCCCCTCGGCTTTCTTCCTGGTTGCGCGTTTTTGCTCAGTAAACCTGGCACCCCTCCCCTCTCCGCCTTCTTGCTTGTTTTTGCTTCGTCAAGATGGCGGCTGTTGCGGAAAGCAGAGTCCTGACTTACAGCGTTTTCAAATGGAGCTCCTTTTCTTCCACGTATCTCCCCGAGTGAGTGATACTCGCCAGCTTGAACACATGCACCCGCGTTTTCCTTCCCATGTTTTGCTGGAGCTTGCTTTCCCACGGCTTTATCCATCCTTTATCTTGTCTTACACCGAGCTATTAGCATCTCACTGTTAGCTTTTAGCATGTCCCTTTACGATGAGCGCTCTGTTAGCACTAAACGCCACTTAGCATTTTCATATACAAGGAATAGCCAAACAATTCATTGGACATGCTCTCCAAACTAACACCCAGCAGGATTTGTAGTGGACAGACACAATCTTATTTACAATAGAATAATTTAGTTGGTAGAGCTTTAAACTTGTTGATTTGTCCCTTTTTAGTCATAATAACTGTACAATGTTCTTTCATATTGCTCGTGTAACACTTGCATGCATTATTTGGTGTGGTACTTATTTACAGCCTATCATCATGTAAAGTGCCTTTTTTTCTGTATTTCCTCTCAGCTATTGTTTCAGCCATTTGAGTTTATCATCTGGATTATTGCTTGGCTTTTTAATCGTGTCGTTTAACGGATCATACGTAACCCTATTGAACAACCCCTGTGTTAATAAAAGCGTTCATTGTGCATCCCAGTTTGAAGATAAAAGTATCTAAAATGAAAGTGCACCTGCTATTGTTTTCACACACAGCACGATAACGTGGTTTCGCAAAACCAATTCACTCGCGCTGTACGTGATCTAATGCCAGTTTGCGATTATTCTTTTGCTTATTTCATTGTTTACATTGCAAAAGATTAAGAGATTCTTTATTCGTCCCACAGTGGGGAAATTTCAGTGTTGCATCACAAGTTATAGAACGGTAGGAAAGAGGAGCACACAGCACAAGATAAGCGAACAATAGCTATACTAATTAAAGTAAAACAAAAATTCTAACTCTAGCATCAAAGAAAGAGTATAAAATCTCTATCCTGAAAATAATAATAGAAGTGTAAAAGTTTTATATTTTGCAAAATAAGAGGCAAGTATAAAGTGCTGTGTATTCCAGTGTAAGCAATGTGTAGTTTCATGTTAGCATCTGTACATTAGCAGCAATATGTTTACATCTGTGAATTAGCAGTAGTATGTTTACATCTGTACATTAGCAGTTGTATGTTTACATCTGTGCATTAGCAGCAGTATGTTTACATCTGTACATTAGCAGCAGTGTGTTTACATCTGTACATTAGCAGTTGTATGTTTACATCTGTGCATTAGCAGCAGTATGTTTACATCTGTACATTAGCAGCAGTGTGTTTACATCTGTACATTAGCAGCAGTATGTTTACATCTGTGCATAAGCAGCATGAGGCTCTGAGACACAGGGACTCAGTAAAGTGACAGTGACATGTGGTTATTGCACCTTCTGATATAAGTTAAGGACATTGCAACGATGCATGACACGTGGGATCAAGTTGGCAGTGTTCATTAGTCCTCATGGTTTGTTGTACAGTCTGACAGCAGCAGGAAGGAAAGACCTGCGTAACCTCTCCTTCGCACATCGAGGATGAATAAGTCTGTCACTGAGGCTGTCACCCCCTGCAGACAGTGTCCTGCAGGGGGTGACAGTTAGACATTCTGTTTACTCACACAACACACTAATCATGAACAATTTGCACTACACATGTTTTGAGACCCAAGCATAATCCACACAGTGATTATGTGCTTATTTAATTGATTGATTCAATAATCGATCAATGAACCAATTGATTAGTTGTTAGATCCTGAAAGGTCTGTGAATATGGGATATTTTCTACATTTGGCCAAAATAAATCTCAAGTTATTTCAATGCCCCTGTAGAACATCGTCATAGAGATTACTTGTCTGTATGATTAAAAACACTAATTTATTTCTGCAGTGATAAAATCTTCTCATGTTTACGTTTATAGGTTCAAAGCACAATTCATTGATTGCTTAACTAAGTTGACAATATTTCAATCACTGATTAGTTGTGACTAAGCAGCTTTACTATTCACAAAACACATGTAACTGTTTTGCATTGCTATACAGTCTATTTTTTGGGGGATGTTTTTTGATTGAAGTTCAAAGTTTGTGTTTTGTGCTTTTAGTACAATCTAGAATGAAAATAATTGTGTTTTTAGGAATATCTTGGTAGACAAACCCAATGACCAGTCTTCCCGGTGGTCGTCTGAGAGATTACCCGCCACAGGTGAGTTCTTTTAGTCCTCCGGGTGCTTCAGTTTCCCCTAACACTAAAACATGTACAATGGCCTTGTACGCGACCCCGCTTCCATAAATATTAGAGGAATAAGGCTCAAAAACACTAATATAAAAAGTGTGTTGTTTGTAAAAGGCACTATACAAACAAAGATGAATTACTTTCTGGTACTTACTTCTGATAGTATTAAAGTAATTATCCGTCGAAGTTCTTTTTGTTTTCATATAAATTATCTCTAAAGTCTTGTTGTGATTCATTTTGTACAATTTGTCTTTTTCAGTTTTTAATCTTGAAGCTGGAGCGTCCAGCGATCGTTCAGAGTGTTACGTTTGGGAAGTACGAGAAAAACACATGTGTGTAATCTAAAGAAGTTCAAAGTTTTTGGAGGCATGAGTGAAGAGAACATGACTGAGCTGTTGTCCAGGTGAGGAGTCTGGGATAACATTTAAGATAATTTAAGATAAGATATATAAGATAAGACATTTAAGATAAGAAAAGATAAACCTTATTATTACAGCACTTTACTACCGGGCATACCGGGCATAATTTTGTGCTCATTACAGAGCTGGACTGGTATCACCAATAGGTATATCTTTTTTTGTGAGAATAAACAGCCACAATTTCACTGTTATTTACGATTATTGACCATAGACGCGTGGACAGAATCATAGTCGACAGAACCATAGTCGACAGAACCACTGACACGCGTTCATCCCCAGCTTGTTGCAAGTGCAGGTCTCCTCCGTGTCTCATACCCAAGCGCAACCATAACTCACAAAAGTACAAACTTTTTGTCTGATCCAAAACTTGCCACGTTCTTCATTAAAAGTTGAAAAACTTGCCTGGGGATAGGCATTTACTGGGGATATTCAGTATAGGGTTGGGCAATATGGGCCTCGGCATGTATCACGATTTTTGTTGGTATGTATCACGATATGACGATATGATAATTTTAACAAGCCTCATATAAAAGCTATAAAAAACTTAGCACTGATAATTTTAAAACACACTTGCCTCAAAGTGCATTTACTGATTTATTGGCAGCAAAATGTGCAATACAGCTATTGTATATAAAACATATTAACAAAACTGAATTGTAGAGAATTCTGTTTTGTACATACTGAAAATTGCAGGCATCAGGTAATAAAGGTGAACATTTGTAATTTGTAAAATATATAAAAGTTTGTCCTTTGTCCTTTGTAATATAAAAAGTGTAGCATTAGACAACCACATGCATTGAAGTAAAATGAATGACAGTAAACAGTAAATAAAGCTTACCAATGGCACTGTGGGAGTGAGAGAGAGAGAGAGCGAGTGTCCGAAGCAAGCCACTCGAGTCCAGTTGTTTAGGCAGCTGCTTTCACAACATTAGATCCACTGTCGATAGTTACACACAATTGCTTCTTTTTATCTAGTTACCAAACTACTCCCATATGTTTGAGGTAGCTCCGCGTTTTGGCACAATGTCTTCTACAATCTGCATGTCTTCACCATGGTCTTCACCGCCGCCTTCACCCATGTTTGCTCTCTGCTCTGTTGTTTGTTGTCCCTGCACGCCGCTCTGCTACACGTGCCGCGCAGAAGTGCGTCATCAAAGTGCGCCGCACACAAACGTGTCTTCCGCTTGCCGTTTTCAGTGTTAAATGATCGTTTTCACCGGTATAAGGCATTTTCTTATCATTTAATTTTACTTTACCGGTATACCGGTACAAAAAAAAATATCGCCCAACCCTAATTCAGTAAATCAATTAATCGCATGATAATTAAATTAGCTCGATAGTTTTTCCTGGCCGCGATGAATTCCATTAGCATGCTTGTTTAGTTTTCCCGTCTCTCACTCTCCCCGCTCTCTCTCGGGTCCAGAGAGCCGCAAAGTGGTCACGCGTGACGTGAGCAGACTGAAATAGCTCAAAAATACAAATTACAGCCAAAACGGGGACCTTAACCAGGATTGGACAACGGGGGGGACACAGTAGTTTTTGTTCTCATTCAGGCTCTAGTAGTGACTAAACTAGAGCAGTTAGCTAACTTGCTAGCTAGCGTGTCTCGCCCGATGCAAAAGTACTGTTTAATAAATAAAATAAACTTATGACGCAACCTTTGTGAACACATACTGCTGTTATATAAAGTCTCTGGAAAGTCTCAGGACAAAAGAGACGCTGCAGAGCTGCATTATTGGCAAGAACTTTACACAAAAAGCCGCTAGCATGATGCTAGCGGTTTTTTTACTTCCGCCACTTCTGGCGGTGGTCTTTAAAAATAAAAGTGTATTCTCCTTGAAAGGGTGTACCTGCATCATTAACATGGTACTAGATGAAAATGATCTCTGAACAACAATACTCTTGCCTATCGCAATAAATTCTGAGACAAATTAATCGTCCCGCAAAATTTGTAATTGTGACAGGCCTACCTGGGCCATGACTATGTATTGTACGTAATAGTGGTTTAGTGGTTAAGTTTGCAGTGCTTGCCCCCAATGACCTGGGTTCAAATCTGGGTGGGATCTGTGTTTTTGGATTAAACTAATATTCTATGACAGATTGCTCAATGAGGGTATAAGGTAAAAACAAACAGTTTTTTGCAGATTAAAATAAAGCCTAGTGTATATTCGCGCAGCGCAGAGCTTACGGCGGTTACGTGACGTCACTTGCGCAACGCAAGGATCACCGCAAGGCCCTTACGTAGCCTGTGTGTGTTTTGCACGGAAGCATGGACCCGGCTGCGGGGAACATGGACAAGGTACCTCGGAGCAGATAGCATCATGCTTCGAAGGAAAAGTAGTTTGGGTTCATGGTTCAGAGCCTAATATACGCGGAGACTGTGGACTG